GAAAGCTGCCTCCATCCTCAAAGATCCCACCCACCCCCAGCACGGACTGTTCACCTCCCTACCCTCTGGCCGGAGGTTCAGAAGTGTGAAATGCAGGACCACTAGACTGAAAAACTCTTTCTTTCCCTCTGCCATCAGACTCCTAAACAGCTGAGGAGTTTATTACCAGGAAAGCGTCATGTACTGTCGACCTGTACTGTTTACATTCTCAGTTTGCACATGCATAATTGCACAATGACTGTTGACTGCTGCACATGCTGCTCCCATGCAGCATACATTCTGTTATTATATTTTTATTATATTTCTGCATTTGCTGCTTAAAGTGCCTTAGATTTTGTGTTACTTATTTATCTACTTTATATTTCATTTGTATTTTGTGGCATTCATGTGGACGGCAAAGTAAGAATTTCATTGTACAGGGAAACATGTTTCCTAACTGTGCATATGACAAATAAACACTTTGACCTTGACCTAGTGTTTCCAGCTGTTCATCTACGCTACATTTAACAATGTTCATATACACCTTACAAGGGCTGGTTTGCCAAATCTCAGGCCAAACTTGAGTCCTTTGTAGGAAATCAGTGTAAAACCTGTTGTTTGGTTTGTAAAATGCTCATCAGTAAAGTAGAAATGTCTTGAGCTGCAGTGTGCCAATCCACCGGTGATGCTTTTTAAACTGGCCTCCTCCTTACTTCAGGTGGCACTGCTGCGCTGGCTGTCCTCTCAGACTGATGAGGACCGAAGGGTCTTGGTAGCGATGACGGGCATCCAAGTCGGCAGAGAGTTGCTGAAACGGATCACTGGCCAGGACAAAGTGGACGCTTACAAGGTGCATTCAAAGGAGCCTTGATGATGTTGTTCAGTGTCGGTGTGAATCTATTTTGAGACCCTTTCATGTTCTGTTTTCCTTTGACCTGACTCACTGTGTTTGTGTGTTTCCCCAGAGAGCGTGCATCCTGAGCATTGCAGAGTTTGTCCATCAGAACCCGCGAGCTTCACAGGCCCAGATCAATGCTGAAGTGGAGAAGAGAGTTCTGGATTTTGCTGCTCAAGTCAAAGCTCTGGAGACGGCTCCATTATTCTGAGTTTAACTGTTGATGTTTTAATTAACAAAGATGTGAAAAACTCAACAGTGTGGGCACATTTCATATCTGTATAGCTGAAACTGAACACACATTTTAGATTTTAGACCCTTTTCTATATTGTACTGTATATTTCCTCCATGTTTGCAGGAACTACAGGGCAGATGCTTTGGTGCTCGGCACAGCGAGGGATCCTGGGGATGACAACCAGGAGTAGGGACTGCTTTGCTGCACACGAGCCTACAGACGTTGGCAATGTGATGCAGTAGGCCGTGGAAACCAGTTAGTCATTCTCAGCTGCTATGTGTAGGCTGTTCAGGACAAATGGCCTGATCCCCATCTGCAGTACACTGGCTTTATTCCTGGCCATTAGTGCCTCTCACTGAGCATCCCTGCAGTTTTCACACGTACCACTCTAGTCCATTGTCTGGGAATCAAACTGGGCATTATTTAGATTTTGTTGTAGGTGACGATACTGCCAGAACTTCCACATTTGCTTATTGTGCTTCTAATAATAAATATTTTATTCCGTATTGTGGTCTTTATATGTGTAGGCATGTAGTTTCAGTTATAAAGTCATTTACACCAGACTTTCATCACCATCCATTTATATGTTTGTTTGGCAGTGTGTGCATTTACACTAGATACTAATGTAACTCATAGTTAAATTTGTAGGAGTTAAAAGGTGTCACTTGGCAGTTGCAGTCATTGCTTACAACAAAATAATAGTAGATTTCCTAACGATGAATGTAAGTTACTTATTTTTGCTTTAAAAAAATAGAAGTTGAGTTGGAAAAAAGTGTTTATTACATAATTACATACATAAAAAATTGTGATAGACAATAAAACAGAGGAATGGAGGCCCAACTGTGTAACCATAGAAGAACACTGTTGCTGCCCTGCTGAGGCGTTCTGGCCTTCTCATCTTGCTCCGGTCCTGGTACTTCAGGGCAGATTATCAATAGTCCCATCCCTGTTTTTGATACTCATTAGCTGGTTTACCCACCTTCGCCCTCACAGAATTTGTATTTTCATTTATTAATTTTCTCCTTTTCCTTTTTCTTTGTCTCTCTCTCTGTTTTTTCACTTCCCCCTCCCTCCTTTTTTACTTACTACCAGACTCTGTATAGAGTTGAACACACCCACGTAACACACCTTCACACACAAACCACATGTAAAGCTCCCATTCATTCTTCTCTAAATGGCCTGTATCCATGTTCCATGTTTCGTCTTGTTACCGTGCTAATTTGTGTTGCAATTAAAAAGAAAGAAAGAAAGAAGTTGGGTATGAAAATTCAGTAAAAAGGAATCATAATGACAGATTTTGTCCTTGTGGGGAGTCTTCAAAAATCTGGACTACAACCCTGCATGAAGGTATAGTTTACATAATTTGGTTTGGTCCGGTTACTTTATTAATAATGTTCCTTGTTTATTTGTATTTATTCCGTATTTAGGTTTAGATACACACTTTTTTCTCCACTTTTTAAAACTATAATTTTCAGACAGCAGTGTCTTGGAAATGAGAGTAACAAAAAATAAAATACAGTTAGACTGAATTAAATTAAATACAGTTAAATTAAAAACCGCTTCCCCGTTGCTGCCTGGTTTGACGCTTCGCGGTGGTTGCCCCGCCCACCTCAGACGTCAGCTGTTCTGATTGTACAGTCTTGTAGCGTCCTCTGATAGGCTGGAAAATTTGGGGGCGCTTCGGGTACAAAATGAAAACACATCCTTCTAATAAGGAGATCAGTTAGAAATTTAACGTCGGTGCATCAGTCCGCTCGTCGATTTCTTTACCGGGATCTTTTTGTGCTATGACCTCTTCAGGATGTCTAACAGCGGAGCTGTGGAGATTTCCAATAAACTGGAGAAGTAAGTGAAGCCAAAGTTAACTTTTGTGTCACTATTACAATATGATTACTCAGTTATCAGCTAGTTTCTGATTAACTTTCCATCAGTGGACTAATTGTTGCAGATCTAGTTGATGTCCAGGCTGTTGACTAATTACAAAGACTGTAATGTGTGACATCCTACATCAAAACTCACTTGACATGATGGTCGGGGGGGGGCTTTGTTTGTTTTTTTGTCATGTTTGTGATAAGCGTGCTAACGGGGACAACTGGTTTCAGATTTTTGTTAGTGTTGTGTTTGTTCTAATTTGGATTTAAAGGTGGATTTAACTTTGATAAATATTTTTAAACTGCCGGTTCATGCAGAGCACAAACAGAAGCCATTTAGATTCGATTAGATTCAACTTTATTTTTTATTACCCATGTACAAGTACAAGGCAACAAAATACAGTTTAGCCTCTAACCAGAAGTGCAGAGTGCACAGTATCTACAGTCAGAACTAATTTACCATAGATATGCACAGTGGATATTTACAGTAAGTTATACAAGGCAATATACAACAGACTTTATGGATTTAAATTACATTAATCTTATAAAACACTAGTGCTATGGGATGGAACAGTGCAGAATAAGAAGATAAGTTACATGAGTGAACAGTTCAATGGATGTAAATAGCAGTATTCTGTGAGTATGTGCAAATTAACAGATCACCTCAGTGTTACAGGTAATAGAAGTGTATTGCATTAGTCCAGGAAGGAGAGATGAGAAGGGGTGAGGTGTGTGTAGTGGTATAGAGGAAGAATTTAGACTTGTCATCATTACACCTGGAGCTTGGATGTCACTGATGCTGACTTTGTCTTCACAGGTCTTTGTCCATAGACACTGATGCCATCCATGATGACCAAATGGAAACCTACCACAGGTAACCCTAAGCAATTAAAAACACTGCTGGTTTGTGCCCAGCAGTCAGCCTTTGTCTTTTACAGGCCATTATTAAAAATCCAAAGTAAAATTCACAACCTTTATGCAAAGTGATTTTCTTGTTTCAACCAGTTTCCTCTTTTTACCTAAACAGCTGTTGCTGGTTAGTAAATGGTTAAAAGATCACAACATAGAAGAGAAGCAAACTGCATTAATGTGGAGGAAAAATCCCTGTTTACCTATAGTAAAATGAGCAACTTTCAGTGAGTGTGAAATAAAAAGAATTGAGATAGATATGTCCTTTGTATTTTATTTCTTGCAAGAAACAGCAGTAATACCATGGATGGCTTCTTTTTTCAGAGGATATTGTGGTTTGCATGGTCTGTAATCATACTTTGGAGTAATTACAACCAGTTCACAATCTTTGATGAGGCCAGCACTGTATTTATGTGTAGCCCACAGTGTCTTAGGGACTTCCTGTAAGGCTGGGATGGCTGCAGCCTGTGCTTCAGATAGGAAGTGCTGAGCTCGTGTTGTGTTTTCAGGTACCAGCTGAACAGATCTTGTTGAACGAAACACTGAAGAGAAGCTTCTTTTAAAACACTGCAGTGTAGGAGAAAACAAAATAGACGCATCGTGAGTTGGTTGCCAATTATTTGTTTGCATGCATTTTTTAACGAAGGGACCCATGTCTCTCCATTCATCATTAATGCCTTTGGCCAAAGAAATGTGTGGAACGGCTCTGTCAATGTCATACAGTTGAAACTGTGTGTGTGTCAGAGAAACTGCAAGTGTACATCTGTGTGTGGTCCAAAATAGATGTGTAGTAGACAATTTGTCATTTTTCTGTCGAAACCATTCCTGTTCATAGCGTTCATCAGGTCCATCAGACACATAGGAGGTGCGATGCAAATCCTCTGGTGTCATGAAGTCAGTGTTTGTGTGTGAAACTAATCTTTTTGCCTCATAGAGTAATGCAGATGAGAGTTGTGAGGTTTTCAGTTTCCATTCATATGCATACAGCAATGCAAAGGGGCTGTACTGCACAAAATTGTGAGTCAAACATTGATCAGAATCACAAACATTTTGAACTTTAGTGCTGTGATAGCAGAAAGGAGTGTTTGAAAAGTGAGGGAGAATCCTCACACCAAAGTAGAGCCGTCATGTTCTCTTTTACTGTCTGTCCAGATGCACCCTCAGAGTAAACATAGTGTCAGCTCAGTTTGGGAGGAATGAGAAACTCTGAAGCTTTAATAACAGAATGCGTTGCACCGGAGTCAACTAGAAAAACAACAGTTTGTCCTCCCACTGTGAGGGCATATTCAGGAAATGTTTTAAAGGCAGTTGTGGTGTATTTAACATATGTTAGCCTTGTGGCTCAAATTTCTGTTCAAGAAACTGAATAGATGTCTGTATCTGTGTGTGTGTGTGTTAGTACAAGCAAGCTGTTCTTCATTGCGGTGTGCAGTGTGTGTGTGTTGTGTAGTACCTCTTTCTGATGTCAGAGAACTTATCTTAGCAGCAGCAGAGTGTCCTTCAGTATACATTTGTTGAGCCACAGCGCCTGGCTCGTCAGCAGGGCCCCCTCCCTCTCCCCCCCCACCAGCTCGCCCTCAGTCTGATGTGGTGTGTGTAACAGCCCCAGCTTCCTCCGCATAGTCACGTGCCCAGTGGCCCTGCTTCCCACAGAGGTAGCAGATGTCAGACGGCATCTGGGGTCGTCCCATAGCCCCTCATCGTCCTCGTCGATATCCATGGCCGCATCCACGTCCATGGAAGCTCTGATACATGGATACAGCTGCCATGTGGAGCTCGTTGTGTTTTTTCATCCTTTTTCTTCTTCCTTTGCTGTAGTTGGTCGTGTGCATGAGTGGCATGACGACGGAGCTCACTGAGACGAGCATCAATGTAGCCAACGCATGATGTTTTAACTGCAGCAGCAATCTCTGGTCTCAGTCCGTTTAGAAAACAGTTGCTGAGATGTGTTTCCCAGACCCCTAGGTGATCTTCCAAGGTATCTGGTTGTGTCAAGCCACTGTGAACGTTGAACAGTTCTGTGAGTCGGTGTAGATACTCCACTGTTGATTCATCATCTTGTTGTTTGCAGGAGGTGAACTTGCACATGTCCAGTTTAGTTGGAAAGGCGTCAGTAATAGCTTTTGCCATAGCAGTAACTGCGTCTCTGTATGGAGCATTATCATCGTGGCTCCAGGTGACATGCTTACAGCGGAGGTCATTGTTTACCTGTGTGTTAGGGAATTTGTCTGAAATATGCTGAAAGTCAGCAGGCTTCATTTTGGTGGCTAGAAGCGGCTTAAGTTCAGTCATAGTGGGACGAAACTCTGCAGAAGATGGTCATTTGGTCAGCAAACTTCTGTCCTGATGCGGTGACATCGGGAAGGTGTTGAGATGCAGCAGTAATGTCTGCTGTCGTCCAGGTGCGGAACACCAACATTGGTCCCTGTGGCCCCGCCACTTCGATCATAGGCATATGATGGGCTGTGCTGGCAGGAGCAAAAGACATACCTGGGTCCTCACTGCTCTCATTTGCTGTGCTGGGCTCGTGCTCGAGGTCATGCTGAAACTGAAGAAGAGAAGCGGCTGGTGGACAGGTGTCAAGGTCAGGGTCCAGCTTCAGAGCAGTAAACTGTGGATACAGAGAAGAGACCTGTGAGTGTGGTGTTCTCGCTGACTTTTCACAATGATTTTTTTCTGTGTGGTCATTATTCTGTCCCTTTTGAAAATAAATGCTAGGTCAGTCTGTATTTTCTTTCTGGCCCTATTGTCTGCTTCCTTTTTCCACATGTAGAGACATGCTTTGTGTTTTTCACAAACCTCTAAATCTTTTACTGAAATTTTCTTTTTCTGTTTTAATTTGGATTCTAACTCTTTGATCTTTTCCACACTTAGGGATCCCCCATGAGGAAACCCAAAGTCACGTGTCCAGTCATTTAAACATTGCACACTTTTTTCGCCATGTTTTCCTCTCATAATATCCGCTATCGGACCCTCAGGAGGTCCAACCTCTTTTGTTCGTTTATTCCCCCTCGGGAGCACGTATACGTGTCTATACAATGCAGACGTCTTTGTAAGGTCCTCGTTTTGTACTGGCCTCAAACAGGAATTAAAAGGCAATAGTCCTAGACTATTTTTTGTAGCCCCAGGCTATGAGAGTCCCAGACTCTTAAAGGAACAGTGTTTTACGAGTCCCAGACTCAGCTGCAGTGGAGAGAATGAGCTGAGAAAACAAGACGAGTTTTACCCCCTTCCTGTTTTTTTTTTATTAATTAGAAAAGCAGGATGAGTTTTATCAATTTTAAAATAAATTGGGAAAGCAAAATAAGTTTGGAAGACAGGATGAGTTCATATGAGGTCATACCCCTCTTTTTTTTTTTTTAGACGTGTATGTATGTGTGTGTGTGTGTGTGCGCGTGTTCCAATAGTAAGTGTTTTCCCTGTATTATCAACACTCACCGAGGTGCTATATGAATTTGAGTTCGAAGGATCCCAGCAGTGATGATCGGGGGCACCAGCGGTCAGTCCCCTGTCACTCGAGTAGTGTAGAGATTAATCAAGAAAATAATTGTTATGGTTGAGTCCCCCTCACCAGGAGGGCGAGGGAGAACTGAGGTAGGACTCAATGTGCAGACCTAGGTGCTAGTGAAGAAAAGGTGGTTTAATGGTAGCAACACAAAACAAAGTAACAGAATCAATCTATCTATCTATATCTATATCTCTCTATATCTATATCTATATATCTCTATCTATCTATATCTATATATCTCTATCTATCTATATATCTATATCTATATCTATATAGATATATATATATAGGCCAGGGTGTGGTAATGTATGGGCAGGTGTATGGTTTTCGGACCAACACCTACAGCTCCAAAACAAATGTGGGTCCTATTTCCCGACTGCCCTTGTTATCAAATAATAGGACAGCATTAATTTTGGTTGAAGTTGGTTTTTACTTAACAGAAGGGTTTAAATAACAATAGTCAGTCCCTTTTTTTTTTATATGTCGAACAAAAGTAAGACAACAGTAGTGGACTTTTTCCTAACAGCACAAAATAGACACGACTGAATATACACTCAAAA